ACTACAAAGGAAAATCTGAATGTGGAACATGCAGCAGTCAGAGAACAAGCTTACACTTCAGCAGGATTCATTTGAACACGTCATTAAGAGGAAAAGCCAGTCACTCCAACTAAGAGGTTGAGATTAAATTGTACACACTTTAAGGTAGGTAGCTGGCCGTTCATAGTTTTAACAGTAACATAAATTTAAAAAATGCTGGCACTAAGCCACATTGATAGCCATTAAATCACTGCCCTGCTGAGTATCATTTCAAATGTTCATTCACTCATCCCCTGCTCCCACCATATTCCAGGATAATCCCTTCACTGCTGAGCTAGCAATATAATGTTTTGTCTCTGCAGTGAATCAAATACCTCATCCAGGATTTGAGCCAGGAGTCTTTTCGAGAAGTGAGACCGCTCTAATATCCACACTTATCACTCTTCAGTAGTCTCACTAGCTTACAGGGTTTCTCTCCACACACCACCACAGGGAATCTGGTGTGAGGATGAGACACACTATGTCACTGTGTTATCCTCTTTCTTTCCACAATCACGCGGATTCAACAAACCGGCTCTAACCGTTGTGTTCGTTTTTCTTCAAATTTAGGAAAACAACGCCCCGGCTTTTTAAACTGTGTACATAAAAGGTTGACCCTAAATCTCCTCTCAATCTGCAATCTGTCCAGCACCGAAACCTCTCTCGTCACTCCCTCTTCTCCTTTTCATCGCAATAAAAAGAGGGATGGCAAAGTGACTCTGTCAGCAGCTGGGGGATGGAGCGCTAGCTAGAAAATAGAAAAATAAAAAAGTCGGAGTGGCTGGACTGGAAGGAAAGTGGGTTAAGAGGGGCGTGATGGATGAGACTTGGAGCTTTCCTGACTCATGGCCTGCTTTCTCTGATGACTAATGTGGTCAGTGACAGCTCTCTCACTACCCCTTAAGCCACGCCTCCTCCCCGCCTTCACTCGTCTCTCAATCCCACCTGGGATGTGGGAACCAGCCTGGGCTGAAGAAGTGCGTGCAATGCCTGGATCACTAGTTCCTGTTAAAAAAGCACAAGTTGTGTGGTCCTGAGGTGGAGGGCTACAACAGTCCTCTGGGATGAGGCCGGGGTCAAAGAAGCTCGCCTCCCTTTCTTATTTACAGCAGGACTCTGGACTTTGGAATGTAGTCTGATCCCGCAGGAGGACAAGATACAAGCTGTATATCTTTCTCTCTGCACTAAAAGACTTCTTTCTAAAGCTTTATTTCATTAATTATGAATTTAAATATGTACCGTCTTGCTTTTATATGTATCTCCATCGATGGTTGCTTGTGTGTTTATGGCTGACCAGTCAAACTGGTAGTGGGCTTTAATAGTAGAGTCTAGCCCCTCTCTATGTGAGAACTTTTGTTGTGATTTGGCACCATGAAAAAAAAAACACTTTTCTGGTTTACGATTATGACCTACATAATATAGATATAAGAAAAGGAAATAAGTCAGCTTGCATGTTATGCAATCTGCAATTAAATTGTTCAATATTGCGTAAACGATATGTAGTGCAGTAATTTATCCAAATACATCAGTATTTGGATAAATCAAGCTCACACTTTCTGTCTTTCTGCTGTGTTCCATGTTTTACACGATCCCTGTGCTTGCTACATGAACCTCCTGAAGCCAAAATCAATCCAACACTATTTCTTTCTTTCCACTAAATTTCCACCTATTTGTCTGAGGGTTGCAGTTAGCTATAGTTTTAGCTCCATCTGACTACATTATGATAGTGTGGATCCAGGCAACCAACCAATGTGAACAATTTACACATGCTGAGTGAGAAAGTGAGAAAGCATTGCATGTTAACATGAAATATAGTTTTTTAATTCATTGCAAAAAAGAATCAGACTTTGCAAATGCATTAATCACTTATTATGAGTTATTATGAAGCCCTACTTTATTTCCTACTAAGCTGTTCGACCAGCAAGTGAGTGGCTCACATGCATATCATGGAGGTCACCTTTGCTCCTGCAGCAGCCTCAAACACCGATCATGTGTTGAGTGGAATTGATTTTCTGAGGATTGCTGTATAGCTTGGAAAAATACAGCCGGATTCAACTGTGTGATCACCTGACTCTGTGTAATGTATACTTCAAAAATATAGGTCAATACCAGCACCCACATCTATACGGGTTGAGCTCATCTGAATGCGAGTTCAATGTGTGTTCGTGTGTGTGTGTGTGTGTGTGTGTGTGTGTGTGTGTGTGTATGCGAGTGTGTAACATAATCTCTTTTACACTATCTAGTCTCATTAGCAAGCCCAGCATGAAGAGGGAAGTGAGCGGAGATACGGGGCAACCAATCATTGTCAGCCAGTCACAGCACTTCTATTTGATGATGCGTATACCACTTGGCCAGAAAATGCAGAGGGTTGTCTTCAAGTGTACACTTCTGCAACAACACACACACACACACACACACACACACACACACACACGAGGACACAAAGGCTGCTCATTACTATGATAAGTGTCTGCTCTGCCCCCTTGGTTGTTTTCATTTTATTTTCATTTCAAAGAAGACCAGGACCAGCAGCTGCCAGCTACAGATCTGAAGTGTGGTCAGATGTGTCACTGCATATCTGAGCGTGTGTGTTTGTGTGTGCGTGTGTGTGTGTTTGTGTGCGTGTGTGTGGGAGCTGTACTGGACTTTGCCTTTGCCCTTTCCTGCTATAAATGTTGAAGAGTGCGTGCGGTCGCTGCATGTGAGCTTTGATGGAAGATGATACACTGAACAACAGTAAGTCTGGCCTTTTGAGTTGCCGGTTTCTCTTTAACAATCTGACACATCTCTTTCTGTAAATAGACATATACAAAGAAAGGCATAGTTTTTTCTGCCCTTTGAAGTTGTTTAAAACACATTGCACCTCTCCAAATATGAAACTATTGTGCTACAGCCATCCATTATCAATACCGCTTTTACCATTTGCAGATGTGGGGGGGGGGGGGGGCTGGATCTGGACTGTTCGCCCGACAATCACAGGGCTAACATATGGAGACACACAACCAGCCACACATTCACACTTACGGGCAATTCTCGAGTCACCAATTAACCTTACGAGCATGTCTTTGGACTGTGTGAGGAAGCCGGAGTACCCGGAGAGACAGGGAGAACATGCAACCTCCACAGAGACCCTGTCCGAAGGGGATTAGAACCAGGACCTTCCTCGCTGTGAGGCAACAACTCTAACCACTGCACCACCATACAGCCCCTATAGTGTTACATGAATACATATATTTTTATAAACATTCATTTCACTGCATTGTACGTCAGTTTAAATTTGTTTTACACTGGTACAAAATGCAGATTTATGGAAAAAACTTCAGATTTTATACGTTTTAGAAATATTTACATGCAGGTATAGAAACTTAAACTTTCCACATAGAGGGGTGAGTCTCTTCACAGCTTTTACTGTCTCAATTCTGTCTCAATGGATTATTCAGCGGATCAAGTATGAGTCAGGAAAGGATTTTAGGAGTTAAGCGCATGGATAATTATTCTCTTTCTCCTCAACGCGATCCAAGGAGAGCCCTCTCCTAAGAGCTGCTTAATGTACCCAATGTATGCGTCACACTCTATTCAACACTAGACCAGTATATCAGTCAGCCAATACAATTAAGGTCATTGGGTTTATATCACAGATGTGTTTTCTGACATATAATATAATATATAATATAATACAGATAAATATTTGGCCATGATATTCGTTGGGGTTGTCTTGTTGTTTTTTTTCCAGCAGAACTCAGTTCGACGCAATAATGTCAGTTGAGCCACACCAAAACTAATAACCAATGTACAACAATGTTAAGTATCCATTGTTAAAGTTATGAATTAAGAAAGCAGGCTTCTTCTCAAGGCTTTTTTTTTGTTCCACCACAAAAAAATATTGGGTGCCACATCTGCAATCTGCACATTTTTAAACCCTGAAATAGGTATTGTAAAATGAGTCTGACTCCATTTAACCCAAACAAAAAACGTGAGCAACAGCTTCTGTCAGACTCTCTTCAACATTGAGAGAATGTGCAGCCCCATCACGTGTTTCTACCCCCATTCCCCAGGTGGAGGCGCACAGTTTGAGTTGAGATCTGGACTTTGCTGTGTTTGTGTTTGTCGCTGCGTATGCATTCATGTGCATGCGTGCAGCCATCTGATATAATCTAACACCTCAGCATGCTCTTGGCCTACGCTGAGTGCTGGCTCAGGCGTCTCCAAATGTGCTTCTACTCTCCCCCACCCCCTCATACTGACACCCTCACTTGCATGCGCTCGCACATACAAACACAATCAAAACTGGAGTAGCAGTTAAAAATCTCACCTATCCTAAACCCACCTCTGTGCCTTTGACCCCTTGCAGTGTTTCCATAGATGAACCTATAACCCTAACCCTAAAAGGGCAGAGCTGAACTCTGGCATGGCTGTCCCTACATTCCTAAACCAATACTGACAATTAGATTCTTATTTCTCCAACACCAACGCAGGGACATGTAAATGCCAAAGCACAATATGCTATCAATTATAGTTATTGGCTAAATAAGGAAAGTGGTATTACATTCTCTTAACGGCCTTAATCTGCATTGTCTAGTCCACACAATCGCGTATGAGCCCATTTAAACAGTTAATGAGATTGACTGAAGTAACAGAAGGCATGAAACTGAAGCTGTAAGCTGCCTTGGCATTTGCTAGGCTTAAAATGTTTCCAAGGTGAGAGAATAAAAGAAAATGAAGTATATCCAGCTGATCGCATCTAATCTGGTGCACATTGCTTACAATGGGCCTGAACATTGTAATAATTAAAGACATTTCTGTATGACTGCGCCCAGTTTAATAAGCCGACATGCTTCCCTTATCATCGATCATCTGCTCTGCTATTAATGACATTATTCACATCATCAGTGCATTGGCGCTGTCGATGCTCCGTGCGGGAAATTGAGCGTTGCGAGCTCTGCAACTAAAAAAGATTTTTTTTTTTTTTTTAGAGCACTTACCGCTTACAGCAAGGAGCAGCGAAGGCAAGGTGCGGACTCGGAAGTTGTCAAATGCTTGTTTGCTTCTGTCTTTTCTGTAAGAATGGCATCGTTTAGGTTGTATTTTTATTTTTTATTTTTGGCTGTGCTGGTGTTCTGACGGCGATCTGCTGGACGGCTTCTCCGCTCACTGCTGCTGATCACACGGCATCCAAGGCGCGGTGAGAGACGCGCTGCTGTGGAGAGGAGGAGAGAGGAGGAGAGAGGAGGAGAGGAGGAGGAGAGGAGGAGGGAAGAGCGTGTGGAGCTGTCAGCGACATGGGAAACAGCGACAACGTGTGGCCTAGTGCGGGAAAAGCATTTGTTAGCGCTGTAGTTTTATAATTTAACTAAATTAGATGCACTACAGCAGGGATGGGCAACTTTGGTCACAGCAAAGGGCCACATTCATTTAGTTCTCACTGCCAGAAGGGGCCACATTGTAGGATACAAAAGGATTACAGTCATTTATGTCTCAGACGTAACTCAACATATACCAGTGATCAAATATTATTATTGACACATTTCTGGTTTTCATGATTTCATGGCAGATTTTGTCATGTTTTTCTTCATGTTTCCAATTAATTGATGTGTAAAAATTGACCTGAGGGCCACATTGAGGGTTGATGGGGGCCGCATGTGGCCACCTGGCCGCCAGTTGCCCACCCCTGCACTACAGCACATTTTCAATCATTTGGCCCCAGAAGTACATGGTCGTATTAAAAAGCATGAGGGCTAGGGCAAAACCCAAAACTTAAATGGCCTCTTTCACCAACACGGTTTTGGAATTTGGCTAAAAAGGAGACAAGCCTGATAGCGAAATATAGGCCTACTAGTGGAGAAATTGTTGTGCACATTTTGTGGAGCAAGTTTATCAACTTTGGTGCTGAGAGGTAGATTAGGTTCATGATCCAAATGTGAAGCTACAGGCATTAGCATGTTAGCTTTGCACAACATTAAGACAGGAAGTAGCCAGAAATAGCTAGCAATGTAGAACCACTGTGTAAAAATCAGAGACTGTAACAGTTATTTACAGCCTATATGTAAAATACAGACCTGCATGGACTCCAAAGCGAATCTAATAATAAACAGGGCCATATTTTACAATAACAACAACGAAAAACAAAATGATAAAACATTAAATAATATGAACTAGCAGGCACCTATGTAGCAATTTCAAGGCTCAAGAAAGGGAAACCTTTGGCCAATAACTAGCCTGGCACATGACACATTTTGTGTTATCAAATGAGCTGTAGATGTGCTGGTACGCAGTTTTTGTTCTTACCCATTGAAAGAGCTAAACATTGCCAATATTTATGCTTAGCTAAGCTAACAACCTACAGCATATTTAGGCTATAGGACACTTTACAAAATAAAATAACAAGTGCATATCCAACAACCTTAAAGTTAATGATAACACCACATGTGCTATGAAAGCACACTGAGACCATGGGAGCTGCCTATACAATGTCTACAGGTTTATGTAACATTAATCGGAAGTGTAACACACTGGACATTTTTACAGCAAAAGCAAAACTGTTTTTCTTCTACAACAGAAATACCGGTAGCTAACTCTAAACACAACTGGAGTAAGTGGAGATTGTGAAAGTGGTAAAGCCCATTGAAGGAGGGAAATAATGTTGTTTTAACCCAGATAGCTGCTCAACTATTATGAAGTACAGTGGATAAAGCGTTTAAGTTTTGATCTCTTTTGCAAATTACATTTCAAACGTGTTTTTCCACTTACTAATTTAATCAACTTAACTTGGCCTTGTTGGACAAGAAAATCTGTCACATAATGCTGGCGGAGTTTCATCTGTGTCGCTCTGTCTGCATTGCACAATGATCATAACGCTGAAGAAGAAAACAAAGCGAGCAGACATGATGTTCCCGGAAAAGTATTCGTAATTTGTTTTAGAAATGGAAAAGCATGCCAAACCTTTAAATGCATAAAACAGATGCATAAAGAGAGAGCTTTAGAGAGCTTTAGATGTTTCTTCCCCTCTCTGCTTAGGGAGCATGCGTACACAGATGAAATTAATATAATGAATGTATGTAACATCATTTTCTGCCAAGCCTTTTAGTGCCTCTCCGGGTCAGAGGATCCAGGCTGTTCCCGCTCTGCCATCATATACAGCACATATATATTCTCTTTGCTGACAGTATTTACTCACTATGGTGTGTTATTACTGTCAGAGGAACGCGGTGCACTGATCCTTATATGAACCCATAAACATCTGCAGCACAAGAAATTCAGTTCCAGGACCTTGTAGGTGAAATATGTGGCACTCAGTCAGCCATGTGGCAAGTCACTATAATAGGCATATATCACCAGCCTTGGATCAATGCCCTGTTTCCCATAGGCGAAACCGATGTGGCACAGCATAATCAATTCTTGTTCCCCGATGCAGCAGAAAGGAGGGTCGAGCGGAATAAGCCCCCAACCAACATTAATACCAGCGCTGAATCCGAATCAGCTCATTAACATTCTGTAGAGAGCGGGGATTCAAGCCATGGTGAGAGCATCTGTTGCTGCAATCAGCTGATGCAGAGACCACAATGGCTTTGTAATTACAATGAACAAAATGTGCATTTAGATAGTGTCAAATAAAAAACAGGGATCTGGAGGAGGAATTTTAATAGCTGCAGCAGCAGTCATAATTCAAAGGATTGAGCCGTTCAGAGCTTGGAAAAGACATACACAGCTGCACAAACCAAAACCAGGAATTAACTAGACCGGCTGACTTTACTGCCCCTATGGAAAAAGTTAAAGCACAGTATGGCTACAGTGTATGTCTGCTCCGTGTAGCTGGAGTCAGGTCACAGTCAATTGAATTACAGTACACATGATGGTCATGTGATCAGGTTTGTGTAAGCTATGCTTTCACAGGAGGGTGGGGTAGGTTAGAGGAGACGAGGAGAGCGTTCAGTACATGAAAGGTGTGAGTGTGTGCGCGTGTTCATTTCAACTCAAATGTCATCCTGCAAATCCAAGCTCCCTGTTGGGAATACTGAAGAATCCCCAGGAGGGAATGACTCACAAATCAGTTTTTTTTGCTATTAAACAAGTCAGTTTGGTGGACTGTGATATCCTTAGAATAAAATGACTGAAAAGTGCGCCCTAGTGTTACCTAGTACAGGTATTCATGAGGTGTGTGTATGTGTGTGTGTGTGTGCAGGCATCCACACGCTCATCACTCACCTTTAATTTTGCTTTCATCCACCCTGTTCAGCTCATGCATACGTTACATAAACACAGTTAGTCTTGCAGTTTGTGATTATTTCCTTTGCAGAAGCAACAGATTCTCAAATGCCTATAGTTCTCCATTAAGACGTACTAAAGCGTCATCGGGCGGCAATTTCTTGTAATAAGTTGCATTCAAACGAGCCGGCGAGTGCCTTTTCATGAGCTAGTCTGTTTCAATTGCTCATTAATCTGCTGCATTATTTATGTGTTATCTGCAGGCAGGGGGTGGGTGGGAGGTTACTGCTGACAGACTGAGTTGTAGGATGGAGAATTATGTTGCATGCCGTCACTGGCAGTGTGAAAGAAGTGATGCGGCAACATAAAATACTCTGTTACAAGTAAAACTCTGCATTTTAAAAAATCATGCTTGAATGAAGAATTTCAGTGGAATAGAAGTAGGAAGTCGCATGAAATGGAAATATTCAAGAACAGAACTTTAAATGTGTATTTGAGTGCAGTGCTTGGGTAAATCTACTTAGTGTTGTGTTGGCATTTGAAGGTGCCTACAAACACAATTTCCTTGACCATCAATTAGATACTGACTTGGGATACTTTCACACACACACACACACACACACACACACACACACACACACACACACACACACACACACACACACACACACACACACACACACACACACACACACACACACACACACACACACACACACACACTCAATCCACACCAAGACACACACAGCCCAATTTCACCCCCTCTTGATATCACAAGCCCCCTGTCAGCTGAAAATATGCCCCAGTCAGCAGAGCAGGAGCCCCTACAGCAGCAGAATAGGTTATTGCTGTCTCTTTCCTCTTCTTGTGGTCCCACTGGGTGCTCAACACCTAATGAATACGTATTGAATGGCTCACTCACTCACTGTCATATACACAAACTGCCAAATTCTAGCCCCCCCCCCCCCATTTTGGATGCCTACATTCAACAATTCATTTAGCAGGTGCTTTTATCCAAAGCTACGTTCATTAGAGAGTAAGAACAACACAAGCAAGGATCTGGAAAGAAGGAATCAACGTCAATGAGTGCAAACGAACAGCTTTAAGTCCCATCAGACAACCCGGGACTGTAAGGTAATGGACAGAGGCAAAGCACTTTAAAAAAAAAAAAAAAAAGTTATTATATATGCATTAACAACATCGACAGCTTTTCTTGAGAGTTCTAATCAGCATCAAAACCATCGTTAATATTGTCATGCTGGTGTGGATGGATGGTTTTGGAATGATGGGCCTCGACAAGTTTTTTCCAATATTGTGTCATGGTACAATCTGAGCGAGCACTCTTCTTGCTGTTTCTGTGGATTCTATTCCTGTTCTTTTTTTAGCTGTTGTGGCAACTAACTTTCCGTCAATGGGGAATCAATAACGCTTTATCTTATCTCTTATCTTAAACAGATTAATACATGGCCTTCAAATTAGTGTTATGGTTATGCAGGTATTTACACTTACCATATCTGTTTATTCTTGTAGCATCTTTAAAAGCAGATGTTTTTTTTTTTTTTTTTAGCATGACACCCTCTTCTGTTTCTGTGTTGCTATTACAACTTTATAAAATGAATGAACGTGGACATAAGAGAACAGATTCTGAAGAAATGGCATCAACTCCCAATAAGTAAATTTGTTTCTAAGGATATTATGAATGATTTACTCCACTTTTATTATGCAGATAAAAGGTATGTTTTTTTATTGTTGTCAAGATTGTACTTGATTTCATAAACAGGCAAATTGATGAGCAGAAATGTCGCACATCAAATTAATTGTTGAGCGTCAGCATCTTCACAGATAGAGAAAAGTTAAATTGGTAATCCGATTCAAAAGACATTCAGTCACCTGGAAAAAAACTAAGCCAATATGACAAAAAAATACAAAAATAAATGCTGTGTTTAAGCAGCTTTATATGAAGCACACTTTGCATTCACAGAAAAATCTAAGATGTAAACCC